CCATGGCGCACTCGGCAGCGGCAGAACCGGCTCGCGGGTCGCGTGACGCACCGCACGTTCGCAGGGGACCCTGGCGCCGCCCGATTGGCTCCCGGTCTCAGGCGCTGGCCAATGGCGTTCGTCCGAGTGACGTTTCAACGGAAGGGGTTGGGCCCCGCGGAAGCCCCGCCCCCTTGGCAGAGGCTGCGCGCGCAGCGCCTAGGCGCCGGCGGACTCGTGGTCTTTGCCTCAAGGAGTTAGGGCGCGGTATAAAACCGTGTTGTGAGACGGGGTGGTCATTTCACCTAATCCTCTTAACTTCTTAAATGAAGGTAGATGCGCACGTGCTGCAAACGGAATAACAACAAACTTTAATATTTACAAGCTCCTCTTTTACTATCTCTGAACACAGGTAGATGTGCTAGACACCTAAAGGCTGGGGGGAAGCAGCTTTAATTCCAAGTGACGTGGCGTGCTTGAGGATCCTGTAACTCAGGCACCTATTAACTGTGTGGGGGAGATTCTTTAAAGGAGTTATTAATAGTAGGGGGATCTGGGAGTTGCACTAAGAAATAGCTGAAAGCTTGAGCGGTCGTGATGTTGAAAGGAAATAGCGGTACGGGGAACAAAGGACTTAGAACATTCTTTCAGAAATGTGCTCAAGCTCTATAAAGAGTAAATAAGTCAGTTTTAATCATGAACGACTGGTGCCTCCCGAGACCGGGGGGCACCATGGCAGCGAGTGGGGACCACCTGCAGCCACCGACGTCGGTGTCGGCAAGTGGGGACTGTCTGCAGATGCTGCTGGTCATGTCAGAAGCGGGGGAGGGAGTGCGAGCAGCGACTGCCTGCAGAAGCCAGAGGCCAATCTCAGGGGGGGCATGTCCCCCCCCCACCCTGTACCTCCCCTAAAATCACCTATGGTTTTAATAAACTGTTCTAATTTAATCTTACGCATTTAGCATTGTAGGAATTTTAAAAAAAGATTTTCCTAGCTTGTTATTTTTGGACACAAGTGATGCAAATATTGTCATGGATTGAGGCAATGGAATAAATAAAAACTTTCCCCCTTTCCCTTTACTCTTTTTGGAGTGGTTAAAAATAGTTTTGCATATAGAAGATTCTGAATTCTGCAACTTTGCTTTAAGAGGAAGCAGTGAAAGGAACTGTGTATAGTGATGTGGTAATAAGGGAGGATACCAGAAGGTGGTAGTGTGGCTTCTGTAAGGACTGTGCTGAGAAAAGGACATTAGGAGGAAAAAATGGACAGA